CTGCTTGTGATCTCTCTCTCTGTCGAATAAATGGATAAAATCTTAAAAAAAAAAAAAGAATAAACTGTAGACACTTTCAAACGTTACTCTTCATCCCAGGGGCTCCTATCATTCTCTTCAGGGCCAGCTTTACGTCTTGGTTCCGCAGTGTGTAGATGAGGGGGTTGAGGAAAGGGGTGATGGCTGTGGGAAATAAGGCAGCTGCCCCATCCATGGGGCTATTGGTTTTAGGCCTCAGGTAGATGAAGGCACAGGGCACATAGTAGATGGTGACCACGGTTACGTGGGCTCCACAGGTCGAAAAGGCCCGGTGCTGCCCATCAGTTGTACGGATTCTCAGGATGGCCTGAGTGATCTGTACATAGGAGAGGAGGATCAGGAAGAAGCAAGTGGCAACCACCACCCCAATGTCCACAAAGGTCACCTGCTCGTTGACTGTTGTGTCAGCACAGGCTAGCCTCAAAACCGCAGGGATGTCACAGAAGAAATAATCTACCTGGTTGGGCCCACAGTAGGGCAGACGGAAGGTTAGGATGGCTTGGATAGCCCCATGGATGGAGCCAGCCACCCAAGCTCCAGCCACGAGGATGGTGCATAACCTCCCATTCATGAGCACGGGGTAGCGCAGGGGCTGGCATATTGCCAGGTACCTGTCGTAGGCCATCAAGGTGTAGAGGAAGCACTGGGTGCTGCCCAGGAAGTGATAGAAATACAGCTGAGCCACACAGCAACCAAATGGGATGGATTTAATGCCTAAAGTGAAGTTCATCATGAGGCGAGGGACAATGATGGTAGAGATGCCCATGTCAATGATGGAGAGAACACCCAGAAAGATGTTCATGGGACGGGCATGGAGCTGCGGGTCCACTGAGACAACGACTAGAATAAGCAGGTTTCCCAGCTGAGTCAGGATGTAGGTTAGCAAAAAGAACACAAACAGGAATGTCCTTAGCCTGAGAGGGTAGGGAATTCCTGTGAGAATGAACTCAGTCAACAAGGTGCTGTTGACTCTTTCCATCCTCTGTAGAGACCTTACCTAGAGAATGGACAAAACAAGAGTTAGCATGGAAGTGAGAGGGAAGTGAGGAAGGACTGGGGAAAGAGATTGTAAAACCAGGGACAATGGCAGAGTTTTCTTCTTCTTCTTCTTCTCTTTTTTAACCAACTGAGCCACCCAGGCGTCCCTTCTTCTTTTTTTTAAAGAGTTTATTTATTTATTTGACAGAGAAATCACAAGTAGGAAGAGAGAGGCAGGCAGAGAGAGAGGGGGAAGCAGGCTCCCTGCCTAGCAGAGAGCCCAGTGCGGGGCTTGATCCCAGGACCCTGAGATCATGACCTGAGCTGAAGGCAGAGGCTCAACCCACTGAGCCACCCAGGCACCCCTAGAGTTTTTTTCTTATGTGGAGAGAAGACAAATAAGAAGAAGTATGCTCTATGGCCGGAGTTGGCCTGTTTAGTAAATAAAGTTTTATTGGAACACAGCCATGCTCATTTACTTACGTATTGTCTGTAGCTGCTTTGATGCTATGATGGCAGAGTTGACTGTTTGGGTTTGGCCTGCAAAGCCTAAAATATTTACTCTTTAGGACTTTACAGAAAAAAGTTTGCTCCTCAGAGTTTGCACCCGGAACACTTTAGCTAAAGACTAAGGGTTTACTGGAAAGGTGTTGTGTGGAAATGTTAGATGCTCCACCAGTTCAGAAACCTCCAGAAACCACTGGCTTGTTCTTATCTCTGTGAGGACATAAACTTACACAGAGTGGGGAGTATGCAAAAAGGAAATGACAAAATTCTTGGTCTTCTTTTGTAGTGGAGGGAATGGAATAGAATTTTGCTTAAATGGCTAGCTGTATGTGACAGGTCTTGATGCTACGCAAGTCTACTAAGTTCTTTGCAATTAAAGGAAGGGGGTGGCGGTGGCTCAGTCAATTGAGCATCTGACTCTTTGTTTCGGCTCAGGTCATGGTCTCACGGTCATGAGAGCAAGCCCCATATCAGGCTCTGACCTCTGTGTGGAGCCTGCTTGAGGTTCTCTCTCTCCCTCCTTCTCCCTCTGCTCTTCCCCTTGCTCATGTGTGATCTCCCTCTCCCTAAAATAAATATACTTTTAAAGATAAATAAATAAGGGAAAAGAATGCCCATGAGGCTGTAAGCATATAGGTAAAGTTGTTGTTGGTACTTGGTGCTATGTATTCCAGTATCTTTGCATATAATAATGTAGCCTTGGGACATGGTAAAGGAAGAGAAGAGAAAAGGAAGCAAAGAGGGATGCCTGTAGTGAGACGTCAGAAATGAGAGAAAAAGCAAGGATGACGGAAAGGATCAGAAATGGCTAGAGTAGGGCTCTCAGTGTGGAGGAGTTATTTTAAGTTTTTGGTCCAACCTCTTTTTTTTTTAAGTTTTTATTTATTTATTTGATAGAGAGAGATCACAAGTAGGCAGAGAGGCAGGCAGAGAGAGAGGAGGAAGCAGGCTCCCTGCTGAGCAGAGAGCCCAATGCGGGGCTTGATCCCAGCACCCTGAGATCATGACCTGAGCTGAAGGCAGAGGCTTAACCCACTGAGCAACCCAGGCACCCCTTGGTCCAACCTCTTGATTGGCCTTTCACCAATGCAGGTATGAAACCACAAACCTGCAGACAAAGTTTGATTAATGAGCTTTTAAAACTCCCCTTAGTTTTATGATCCTCCAGTATCTAAGCTCATGGCTTGAGGTACAATGTCAAAGACACTGAGATGGATAGATTGATTTTGCTCTGGAATGATTCCTGTCCACTCAGAAGGAAGAGAGTGAGATTAACAGAGAAGTCAAGAGCTCTCTGATCAATGATTCCTTCCAGCTTCACTCCTGTGCTCTGGCTCAAATGAATGTGAAGAGTAGGGAAGTGGCAACCTTGAGTAAGATATCATGGATAGATGGTCCTGTTGCTGGCTGGAAACCCTAAATGTGAATATTGTAATGGAACTCAGTCATCAGCTTGCCTCTTGGTTCTGAGAATGTTTCACAGCCCCAATGGGTTTTCATTTCCTTATTGAGGTTGTGAGGATGGGGAGTGAAACTCTGAACCCAATTCTGGAAAATTTACCAATAATGGGTAGTTCTACTCAATCCTTAAACACCTAACTTTAAAACTGCTGTATCCATGCCCTGTCAAAGCTTAGCTCTTATTATTTAACTATCTCTTATAGCACTTTAAGAAGGCAGCAGTAAATCCTTTCACCTACGTTGTGGTTTTGTTTTTTCCCCCAAGTGAATGGAATAGCAGTTTTGATTAAAAAAAATATTTTAGTTGCAGGAAATCAGTGATGGTTGACCTTCAGAAAGTTGACCACAGAGCTCTTCTGGATGTCAGGGCTACAGACACAGACGTCTTCACCTCCCAGCTTCAGAAACTAGCAGGTTTAAGCTGCATACAAGTTCCTTGAGACATTCGTGATTCCTCAATAGCAGTCCTGACCTGAATGAGCTTAGGTGGTTTCTCCGGTCGTTCTCATGGGATGCTATAGTTTTCTGGGTTCACAGAGGTCTGATGTTAAACTCTGTGGATTTAGAAGCCTGATTTGATCAGGTGTCCCTAGAGGAATCAGGCTCTGGGAAACCAATTCACATTATTCAATACCTGAGAGAATGACATGTAACCCAAACAACCAATTTGTTAATTTACAGTGGGAGATCTCATTCCCATGACTGAAATAGTGTGTTTACTACCCAGGGCAATCACTTACTAATATTAAGGTCTCTGGAAATCAAATTAGGAATCAGATGCATATTTCTAAATTTTGAATCAGAGCAAAGGAAATGTGATGGGACACACTTGATTTAGGCTGTGATATGTATCAATGAATTATGCCTGATAAGTTACACAGCACATTTACTTAGGGGGATTTTTTTTTTTTAGAACTTTTTTTTTTTAAGATTTTATTTATTTATTTGACAGACAGAGATCACAAGTAGGCAGAGAGGCAGGCAGAGAGAGAGGGGGAAGCAGGCTCCCCGCTGAGCAGAGAGCCCAATGTGGAGTTCGACCCCAGGACCCTGGAATCATGACCTGAGCCAAAGGCAGAGGCTTTAACCCACTGAACCACCCAAGCTCCCCCATCTAGGGGGATTCTTTAATCTTTCCTTCAGATACAATATTTTTTTTCTTCTGGGAAGTAGTGGGGTTATATTGACAAAATTTTACTCTTTTTCTTCCTGAGTTTAATTTCCCTAATCATTTTTCCTTACTTGTTTTCCCTGTTTGTAATAGGGAATGTTCTCTGAATCAGTCTCTAGGAACTGTTATTTCTTTGGGGGAAATTTGCTGTAGATAGGGAATTCCAGTCCACATGGAGTGTGCCAATTCTTTTTGCACTCAGAGAGAATAGTATTTCCTAATCTTGCCCTTAGATTTTAGATCCATCTTTTTTGTTCCTCCATTTTTTTTTTAAAGTAAGCTCTACATCCAATGTGGGGCTTAAACTCCTGACCCCGAGATCAAGAATTGCATGTCCTACTGACTAAGCCAGGTGCCTTGATCCATCTTAATGGGAACAATGAGGGATGGGATGTAGTTTTATTTGTCCTACTGTCCTTATTAGGTTTGATCTCATTCCAGTTGCAGTTAAGTTTTCCTCCATTTTTAAAATAAGTTTTTCCACATTTAATAAGTTTTTCCTCATTTAGCGATAAAGGTTAATAGGATGACTTCCTTTTTGCCTCTGATGTGTTATGACATCTTCCTTGTGGTACTGCCATTATCCTAGATCTCCAAGTGTGAAGCTTGGTATTCACTGGATGAACTTCTACTTACTCGGAGTCATTAATAACCCAGATGTAGCTCTGACATGCATTAAATCCTCTTTTTTTTTTTCCAAGATGAAAGTTTTTATTTTGCTGAAATGTACAAATATAACAGTCCACACTCTACAATAAACATTTAGACACTGATGATTTTCTTAGGATGCAGTTCTCCCTCACAGTTCAGATGCCTGATCTTCTGTGAAAGCACAGCTTGCCTTCTTTTCTTCCCACGAAGTTTGTAGTTTTAGAAGTCTTGCCGGATATTTTCTTTGTTTGCCTCTCCATGTTGCTGCTTCATTTGAAAGATTTCATTTTCTAATTGCACAATAGTCCTTTCAATCTCGTAATTCTTACTGACCAGGGATACCCAAGTTGACTCCATTTCCCTTAATTTAGATCCAGCTGTGAGCTGCATGTTCTTTCGCTGCCAGTTTAAATCTTGAATATGTTTTCTTAACTTCTGGAGCTCTTTCTGTGCATGTTCAATCATATGAACTAGATTTTCATTATATACTTTCCAGGCATTGCATCCATGCTGTGACATTAGTTCCAGATTCTCAATTCGAACTGCCTGATGCTCTAACTGGGCCATTGAATTGTTTACACATTCTTGCCATGCGGTAATGTCGTTTTTCTGACCCGAGGAAGGGGCTGGAAGTTCATACTGTTTCATACTAAGTAATTCTATTGGTTGCCGAGCAGCCAGTCTTTCAAATTCATTTCTCATTATGTCGGTTTCAAAAGCAGAATAATCCGGGGCCGTCAGGTAGCTCAGGTAGTTCTTGGTAGGTCGGTATCTACGGGTTTCCTCCTCCACCAGCGCCGCAGCCGCTTCCCGCACGCCGGGCGCTTCATAACCTTGGTCAAAATACGGCCGTGCATCTGCCACGACCTTTCCGGCAACTAAGCCTGTGCCCGCCATTCCGAAGCTTGCCCAAATTTTCTGGCATTAAATCCTCTTAATAAAAAAGGTGCAGAGAAAAAGAAGAATGTGGCATGAAGAGAAAGGAACAGGACCCTGATGAAAACTTCATGGACTAGGGTGATAGGAACTCACAGAACGATGACATATTACTTTTGTGTATATTCTCATGATCCTTAGAGGAGTTAAATGACAAGAGGAGTCCCACAGCTGTATAGTGCTAAAGTAAGGACCCCAGGTCCTTTGGTTTTATGGTTTCCAGTTCAGTAGTATCTACATTTTACTTAACAAATAAGCCAAAATGATGGAGTAAATCATGTTATTTTAGGATGCTAAATCATTAGATGTTTTCAGAACTCATTGGCATTATTAATCCCCAGTGTCCTGAGGCCATAGCTTTGTCTGTGATCTGAATAACAATTTTAAGAGTTTGATGGTTCATTCTATCAAAGATTCTAAACTGGTGTTGCTGCTCCATTTTTAAACCTAGATGTAAAATTAAGTGCAAGTTCTAAAATCAAACAAGAGTCAATATTTGTTACTATGCATCTGTGAAGTAGACCATCTTCTTTCCTTGTCAGGCATTCTAGCACACTGAACCTTTCTTTGGGAAGTAGACCATTGCCTGGGGGCATAGCAGTATTTTTATTTTACAGAGATTTAGAGTGTGAAGGTGTTTATACAGTATGTCTTTGAATTGTGACAGGATAGTAAATATAAAAAGTCTACTAGTATAAGCATGTTTAAAAAAGATGTGGGAATAATTAGTGGATCACAAAAGGATTGTATATACCTATAAAGTTGATCATTAAAAATTTGTTAGTGACTGATCTGAGCAGGGGATCAGGTACTTCTCAAACAAGGCAAAGGGCACATTGACACTTTGAGCCCATTTTGGCAGATGATTTTTGCTTAATTCTGGTCCCAAATACATACTTAACTCCAGTCACCTATCTCTCAAATAGCCATGAAGTAAATACAAACATACAAACAAAAAAAAATTTTTTTTTAATACTATTGACTCAATAGACTCTCTTTTAATTTATAAAAAGCATGTCGGGGGGGGGTGCCTGGGTGGCTCAGTGGGTTAAAGCCTCTGCCTTCGGCTCTGGTCATGATCCCAGGGTCCTGGGATTGAGCCCCACATCGGGCTCTCTGCTCCGTGGGGAGCCTGCTTCCTCCTCTCTCTCTGCCTGCCTCTCTGCCTGTTTGTGATCTCTGTCAAATAAATAAATAAAAAAAAAATCTTAAAAAAAAAAAAAAAAAGCATCTCAGGGGCACCTGGGTGGCTCAGTTGGTTAAATGTCTGACTTTAGCTCAGGTCATAATCTCAGAGTCCTGGGATTGAGCCCTGTGTTGGGCTCCCTGTTCAGCAGGGAGTCTGTTTCTGCCCTCTGCCCGTGGCACTGCCCCCCACTCAAGTTCTCTCTCTCTCAAATAAATAAATTATTTTTTTAAAAAAAGCAACTCAAATATTTAGAAAACTTAGATGATCTATTGCCATTTTCTGAATTTTCTAATAAGACATGTAAATTGGAAAATGATGTAGAGGAATAACATTAGAATGAATATATACATGTGCAATGAGATGAGAAAAAATTTGAATTATTAAGTCTGAGAAATGAGATAAAACATTTCTATTAACATGTAAAACCCTTGTTAGAACAATGAATTTGACATGTCTAACATTTTCACTAACATAGAAAGGAGATTACAATTTTACTCCTATCTATCCTGTCTTACAGGTGGGGGAAGGGAGCCGAAAAGGAACAAATAGCAAGGAGCAGATATGAAACCACCATAGAACTCTAGATAGTCTTACCTGTTCTGGTTGATATGCAATCTAGGCAGTGAATGAACCTCTGAAGAAAGGTAGCTTTGGATAAATATGTAACCAATAAAAGTCTTGTGGAAATAAGGTTATCTTGATATAAAGTAGCTAAAAGGTAGCTGCATAGTCTTAACAGAGTAGTAAAGAGAATTTCTGTAAAAGCAGGAAAAAAAATCTATTGAATAGACAAGGAAAGACATTGAGAGCTGAAGTGACCGAGAGGGATGAAACCCTTTGCACAGTGTATGGACCCAACATTTATCTATATCTGAAACTTACTCTGTGTTCATCAATATTTGGGAGTATCTTCCTCTATTTTCCTCTCTTTTCAGCTCTTCTTCACATCAGTGATCAAATCCTGTGGATGATGATGGATTCTGGAAAAAGGGACCGGACAATGGCAAGTATTACTTGGGGGAGAGAGAATCCCCTTTATCTGCAGGTGTCAGTATCCACAGAAAACCCTCTTTCAGTCTGAGAGAAGGGATATAAGTCTGTTCCTAGAGAGATTTCAATGGTTTTGGATCCCACAGGGTCAGCAGTAGTTGTTGTGAAGAGCTCATGGCAGGAGACCTAATTAGGCAGTTCTGGCTGGGTCAAAATGGAGGACTAAATTACTGAAAGTTGATTTATTTGCTTGTTTATTTGTAAACATCCTACTCCAATTGCCTTATGCTGGGGGAAGAGTTGTGACCCCTGGTGAAGGTAACTGCTAAGGTTGGTCTCCCTTGTGTTCTGTTACTTCTTTTATTTTCCCCAGAGTTGATTAGGGTATGTGAGACATGTAGCTGGGGGAATATTGTAATAGGACCCCTGTGAGGAGACAAGACCAAAATCTTGGTTTGTTTCCTGGGATACTTAATTTTTAGCTTTTTCTGATTTTGTAACATCAGCTGGGACAAAATCTGTGGGGCTCATAATGCTTGTGGATGATTTCATATCTGTGATTTCTTTTCTCTTCCAAAAAAGAAATTTTAGAAAAACTAAACAAAACAAAACAAAGCAAAAACCCCAAAAAACTAGTGTGGTTGTTACTAGTCATGGATGTCTTCTTATTGCCACATTCACATGTTCTGAAACTTATCTTGTTTTGGAACAATAAAAGATAAGGAAATAGAGGACTTAAACAACAAAAGGCCAGTTAGACCTAATAGACTATACAGAATATTCTACCCCAAAACAGAATACACATTCTTCTCAAGTGCACATGGGACAGTTTTCAGGGTAGACCATATATTAGGCCACAGATTAAGTATCAATGTATTTGAAACAGATAGACACTGCACAAAATATGTTTTCTGATCATGATGAGATTGTTAGAAGTTAGTAAAAGGAAAACTATAAACTAGAAAATTCACAAAATTGTTGAAATTAAACAACACACTTTTTTTCTTTAAGCAAACTCTATGCCCAATGTGGGGTTTGAACTTAGGACTCTGAGATCAAGAGTTGCATGCTCTACCAACTGACCCAGCCAGGTACCCCCAAAAAATACACTTAAAAAAAATTTTATTTATTTGTTTGTTTATTTATTTATTTTAGAGAGAAAAAGAGAGAGAGCCTGGGAGGGACAGAGAGAGTGGAAGAGAATCGAAGCAGACTTCCTGCTGAGCATGGAGCCAGATGCTGGGAGATCATGACCTGATCCAAAATCAAGATTTGGACACTTAACTGACTCAGCCACCCAGCTGCCCCCAAACAATAATTTTTTTTTTTTTTTTTTTTTTAGATTTTATTCATTTATTTGACAGAGAGAGACAGCGAGAGAGGGAAAACCAGCAGGGGGAGAGGGAGCCCAATGTAGGGCTCAATCCCAGGATCCTGGGATCATGACCTGAGCTGAAGGCAGATACCTAATGAATGAGCCACCCAGGGGCCCCCCCAAACAAAACACCTTTTTAAAAAAAGATTTTACTTATTTATTTGACAGAGAGAGAGATCACAAGTAGTCAGAGAAGCAGGCAGTGGGAGAGGGGGAGGCAGGCTCCCTGCTAAGCTGAGAGCCCAATACAGTGCTGGATCCCAGGACCTGAGTCAAAGACAGAGGCTTAACCCACTGAGCCACCCACGCGCCCCCCAAACAATACACTTTTTTTTTTTAAGGTTTTATTTATTTATTTGACAGAGAGAGATCACAAGTAGGCAGAGAAGCAGGCAGAGAGAGAGGAGGAAGCAGGCTCCCCGCTGAGCGGAGAGCCCAATACAGGGCTCGATCCCAGGACTCTGGGATCATGACCTGAGCTGAAGGCAGAGGCTTTAACCCACTGAGCCACCCAGGCACCCCAACATAATACACTTTATTTATTATTTTCATTTTTTTTAAGATTTTATTTATTTATTTGACAGAGATCACAAGTAGGCAGAGAGGCAGGCAGAGAGAGAGGAGGAAGCAGGCTCCCTGCTGAGCAGAGATCCTGATGTGGGGCTCGATCCCAGGACCTTGGGATCGCGACCCGAGCTGAAGGCAGAGGCTTTAACCCACTGAGCCACCCACTCGCCCCCTATTTTTTTTTTTTAAAGATTTTATTTATTTATTTGACAGAGAGAGATCACAAGTAGGCAGAGAAGTGGGTAGGGAGAGAGGAGGAAGCAGGATCCCTGCTGAACAGAGAGCCCCATGTGGGGCTTGATCCCAGGACTCTGGGATCATGACCTGAGCCGAAGGCAGAGGCTTTAACCCACTGAACCACCCAGGTGCCCCCACAATACACTTTTAAACAACCAATGGACTAAAGAAGAAATCACAAAGGAAATTAGAAAATAAAGATGAATGAAAACAATATGACATACTCAAACTTATGGGATACAGTGAATGTAGTGCTAAGGGGAAACTTAGAACTATAAATGTCTACATTAAAAACCACGAAATACAGTGCCTGGGTGGCTTAGTCATTAAGCATCTGCGTTCTCTTCAGGTCATGATCCCAGGGTCTTGGGATCGAGCCCCACATCGGGCTCACAGCTCCGCGGGAAGCCTGCCTCTCCCTTTGCCGCTCCCCCTGCTTGTGTTCTCTCTCTCGCTGTGTCTCTGTCAAATAAATAAATACAATCTTAAAGACAAAAACAAAAACAAAACCAAACAACAAAAACCCCCAAGAAATATCTTAGGGTGCCTAGCTGGCACAGTGCATAGACCATGTGACTCTGGATCTCAGGGTTGTGAGTTGGA